GGTTTTAATCACAGCTTTAAAATACCTGCATGACAACACCTACATTACTGTTTGATGGAATAACTGGGGACTATAGAGCCTATCTAAATTGGCACATAAAACGCCATAGCACCCAAGTAGTAGGCAAGGACAGTATCACCACTTGTGTTCTAGAAGCACAGGGCACTTAAATCTTTTGCCTAAGGCACACAGCTAACGCACATTTTGTTTTTCAATTGTAAAAAGGTTAGAAATTCTTACCTCATTATTGTTTCAAGAAGTAAATTAAATTAAATCAGCTCCAACTGTGTATGTGAAGTTCCTGGCACACTGGGTTCTCCATGTTAGAAAACAGCAATTAGACCACATTTTGCTTATAAAAAGAGCTGGCTTACAGGTTAGCCGAAAAGGAACATTCTCCCTACAGGTGGGAACACAAGCTGGAATAACTTTTTTCAGCAAGTAGTTCCAGTTCCAAGAATTAGTTTTATAATATTTGTACACACCTGTAAGATAGATATGCAAAGATATTCATTTTGCAATCTTATTTATAAATAAAAAACAAAACAAAAAAACAACAACACTAAACTTCAATGGCCCTGGCTGGGTAGTTCAATTGGATAGAGCATCTTCCCAACACACCAAGGTTTCTGATTCAATCCAGGTCAAGGCACATACAAGAAGCAACCAATGAATGCATAACTAAGTCGAACAACAAATAGATGTTTCTCTCTTTCTCCCCCTTCCTCTCTCTCTAAAATCAATCAATAAAACAAAACAAAACACTTAAGTGACTATCAAGAGAAAAGGAAAGTGTTAAATAAATTATGATATGGTCTGAAAATCAATCAATAAAACAAAACAAAACACTTAAGTGACTATCAAGAGAAAAGGAGAGTGTTAAATAAATTATGATAAGATCTGTTGACATAAGAATGTCCAAACGCATATAAAATGTTATGTATTTGAGCCAAACTGAGGACATGTCTGGAAGCAAGATCTCAACAGTCTGAGAATAGCAGTTTTTCATTTCTTTTTATGCATTTGGAATCAAAGGCGGAAACATAAGGAAGATTGCATGAAATCCATTGGTAGGTTAGGGAGGCGGGAGGAAGCAAAGAGGAAATTCCTATGATTAGATAAAAAGTAAAATGAAGAGATACAGATCTCAGTTACATTGGTGGGTACAAGACAGTTAACATTTACAGTAAGTGAGATGGTATTCGTGTAACAAGATCATGTGCTCCTTGAGAGTGGCTTCTGAAGGGTCTAAAACAGTGGTTCTCAACCTTCCCAATGCCGCGAACCTTTAATACAATTCCTCATGTTGTGGTGACCCCCAATTTCATTGTTACAAATTGAACATAATTAAAGCATAGTGATTAATCACAAAAACAATATGTAATTATATATGTGTTTTCCGATGGTCTTAGGCGACCCCTGTGAAAGGGCCGTTTGGTCCCCAAAGGGTTCGCGACCCACAGGTTGAGAACCGCTGGTCTAAAAGATAATATTATTCTGGCATTTCTAAGATATGTTAACTTAGGTGTACAAGAACAATGGACAGGGCCTGCTTAAAGCAACAATGAACCTTTTACTAAGGAAGTTATAGGCCTGAGGCCTGACTGCTCACCATGACCTGCTCAGTTAAGAATTTACGATCAGCCCTGGCCAGTATGGCTCAGTTGGTTGGGTGTTGACCTGGGCCCATCTCTTGTCAATGTTTCTCTCTTTCTCTCTCCCTTCCTCTCTCTCTAAAAATCAATTTTTAAAAATATTAAAAAAAAAAAAAAAGAATTCATGAGCACATCACCCTGTGAGGTCACTTTTGGTCACTGAATGTGTCTGATTTACTACATAGTCCCTTTGCTCACAGGCTGAACAATGGAATGAAAGATGTCCATAGCGTAGTGTTTCATCTAAAATAGGAGTTTGTATTATTTGATAGCATTTTTGATACTAGACATTTTGCTAATATCTTTGGTGCTGGAAGGTGATAGGTTCTGTGCCCATTATGATTTTATAGAAAGAGGAAGATGGGAGAGAGGGAGAGAGAGAGAGAGAGAGAGAGAGAGAGAGAGAGAGAGAAAACATCAATTTGTTGTTCCACTTACTTATGCATTCATTGGTTTCTTGTTTGTGTTCTGACTGGGGATCAAACCTGTAACCTTGGCATATTGGGATGACACTGTAACCAACTGATACCTGGCCAGCCTCATTTAATTTTCAACATAACCCTATGAGTGCATTGATATTATCCACATTTTATAATAGACGGTAGATGAAACCAAGTCTTGGAGAGAGTAAGACATTGCTCAAAGCTTATGCCTACCAAAGATGAAACTGAAGTTATCTATATTCCAAAGCCAGTGCAATTGGGTAGTAAATTGGGTCAAGAGGTACTAAAAATTATGCTTTTATTGGTTTGTCATTTTTCCACTGACTGTTTTAATGCTGATATGACTATAATGTAGAAAGGTTTCAAAATAGAAGCTTCAGGATAGTCTGTAATTTGGGCTGTCAAAGTTTAGTATTTCCAGCAAAACACTCTTATTTATCAACCTTCTCCTCCACCTCAATCAAAATAATAAACAGAAAGAAGAGAAAGCATAAATGGTTTTTCATTGCTTCTGCAATCCAAAAGAAAAACCAAAAAGTTAAAACAGGAAAGTTCAGGAAAAATCCCCAATTTGCTACCCTTTCATCAAAGCAATAGAATTATTCATGTCCAAATGGCAACGCCCCAATGTGCTTACAAAAAGGTTTGGTTGCCTGTTGGGTGCAATGCCTAGGTCTTCGGGGTGCTCATCAGGGGGAAATGCCACAGTATTATCTAGTATTCTTGGAAATTACTAGATTAAATACATCATTAAGATGACTTCTGCCTCCATGCTCATTTTTAGCATTTTTTTCATGCACCACAAATTATTTCTCTTTCTCCACAATGTCCAGCTAGATTTCTTCTAGGAGAGGGGTGGCAGGAAAAGGTCTCACTTCAGAGGATCAGACAGGCAACCAGAGCTACTTGGCTGACCACCCCAAGATGTCTCCCACAGGGACCTCTTGCACTGCTCTGCTGGACTCCCTGGGAGTTTGAGAATCCACCAGGACCCTGAGGATGGGATGATGACTTTAGGAGCAGCGGTTCTCAACCTGTGGGTCGCGACCCCTGAAAATACATCCTGCATATCAGATATTTACATTACAATTCATAACAGTAGCAAAATTACAGTTATGAAGTAGCAACGAAAATAATTTTATGGTTGGGGGTCTCCACAACATGAGGAACTGTATTAAAGGATCACGGCATTAGGAAGGTTGAGAACCACTGCTGGGGATCCTTGCTGGCTAGTTCCTGGTTTTAGGAACTCACTAAGGAATAAGGTAGTTCTACACTCTCTGTGGCATTTCTAAGATCCCCAAGGGCAAGGAAGACGGACTACAATTTCTGTGTCCCGGAAGCAGGTTTTTCTCAAACCCACCCGAGACCCACTGAGTTCTGGCCAAAGATCAGAGTCCCCAGAGATTTGGGGCCAAATTGGAAGCAAGTCCTCCCTTAGACCAATAATTGTCATTCCGTGGTGGTATTTTCTGTGTGCCTATCACAAGGGAACCCCAACACTAGGAAACAAAGTCTCTGTCCTCAAGAAGCCTTCACTGGGGAGACGAGATATGTGACTTAGTTTTGCTTTCCTATTGGTGAAACTAAAACACTTTTCTTGTATCATTCAAATTACCACTACTCCCATTTCCCTCTTGAACTCAGAGAAAAGATTCTTGTACCATTCCCCAAATTTTCTCCATCAAGTCCCACTCACTTTCCAGAGTCATGCAACCATCACTGGACACTGTCACTGCTTGTTACATTTTACATGGATCCCATGGAGATTTAGCAACTGGGAAAGTATGTGTGAGGGGCAGCAAGCTGTGCAGAGGGGTGGATGGACTTAGAAGACTCACATGCCATATCCATAGTATAGACCAGTGATGGCGAACCTTTTGAGCTCGGCGTGCCAGCATTTTGAAAAACCCTAACTTAACTCTGGTGACATGTCACATATGGAAATTTTTTGATATTTGCAACCATAGTAAAACAAAGACTTATATTTTTGATATTTATTTTATATATTTAAATGCCATTTAACAAAGAAATATCAACCAAAAAAATGAGTTTGCGTGTCACCTCTGACACGCGTGTCATAGGTTCGCCATCATTGGTATAGACACTAATTAGCCTTGGAATGACACTGTGTGTGATCCTTGCTCCCTGGACTACGGACCTGGGATGCTGGACAAAGAAACACTGAGTCAGAACAACCAGACTACAAGCCTTACTAATTCAACATGTGGTTGGGCTATGAGACCGGGGAGATTCTACCATTTGCCTGATTTCTCCTCATAGAGTGGAGACCACCATCTGCGCACAGGATGCTGGTACTAATGAAATCATTTAAAGGAAGTATTTGTTGCTTCCTTGGATGGGAACTGTGTTCTCTACTGAGCTCTCACAGGCATTTCATCTGGCCACGTGAGCAGTGATCTGAAGAAAGATCAGATTCCTAATTCAGAGGGTGGGTTAGTTCTCAGAGTGGAAGCTGGATTCCTCAGTGGGCCCTTATGGACTTGAGAATAAAGTTTAGGTGTGCTTGACCCAGAGCTACAGGTCTGCTTTGAGGACAATAAAACCCAGATCAGAAGGCAGCAACCACTGGGGGTTAAAGGGACACGGGAGGACATAAGAAAGCAAAAACACATAAACACCAGAACGGAGTCAGTGACTCAGCAAAATTTTCAAATCTTCTATTGAAAACATTTCCCTGTTTTTGGCTTTTGGGAAATCATATAGGAATCGAGAGAGCTTGACTATATGGTTCTATATCCTTTTTGTGGACTGAAATTTTTAAAAAGTATGTTTAATGCATGTCTTTAGAATTGGTCAATGAACGAACCTCACTTTGTTCATACCTGAGTTTCTCAAAACCATGAGTCATTGAAGCCTTGCTATCAGAGGTAGGCTTAAACTTGTGACACTCACTTGATCATAGATAGGGAAGCTGCAGAGTTTTTGTCTCAGAAATAATCAAGCAAGGAAACACCCAGGAGGCACAGGGCAAACCGCCATCCTGGGAGCTGGTGGGGTGGGAAGATGCGGAGGCCCAGTCCGTGTGGGCAGCAGCGTGCCTTCTGTGTGGCTCACCTGTCTTTTCCTCCTTTTGGCTTGACACCAGGTAAGCTGGCATCGAAGTCAAGAGCCTGGCCCTGGGAGCTTTGGTGCTTTATCTCAGGATGATCTCAGCGCTTCCATTGGCTTCTCCTGGTGCCGCCTGGCACCTGGAGTCCAGTGTGCAATATAGGTGATGGGGCTCCTGGTAAGAAAATGAAGGCAGATTTCCTCAGGCTCAGCTTCCTTGCTAAGCCCTGTTGGCCTGAAGCACATCTACATTACTCCGTCACTGGAGAGAGGAACCGGACTCCCCCCTTGATTTTGTACACCCCACAGCTGGGACATCTCATCTGTAAAATGGGCATACAATGTGATGGGGGAAGGGCACGTAATAAGAATAGGAACGCAGTTGTTTAATGACGATTCACCTTTCTAACTATAGATAAGAGGTTTTCTGACAGACCCTGGGAAACCGGAGGATGTGCTATAAAAGGAAATGCATTTTAAAAGCAGATCAAGGACAGGACTCACTTGGATTTGGCTGGTGTGCCTGAACTCTCACCCCATCCGGGAGTTTTTCTCAGGAATGCTGACTATTCTCGGGTTCCAGGAACAGGCAGAGCTGTTTGTAACATCATAGAAGATTAGTCAACTGGTTATCGGACTTTTGACTCCTGAAGGCCGGACTGCAGACCCTCCCCTCCCCTTCCGCTGTTACATTCGCAGTTCATTCACAGCTGCATCTAGTTATCTTCTTCCTTGCCCGTATTCAATCCGCCAACGGGCGAGGGGGAATAACAGATTTTCTGACTGCTCTCTCAAGCTGCCGGCATTATTAGAATAAATGCTCAAATATGATTCAACCCTGTGTCTGCTTAATTTGGCTCAAGTAGTGACAGGCTGCCTTTGAGCCAGTTGTGTCCGGTATCAACAGCACTCATCGCCTAGGGCTGTGGTTCTCAAAGTGGGTCCCCTGACCAGCAGCAGCATGCATTGACAGGAACTTGTTAGAAAAGCCAATTCAGAAACCCCTCCCAGGCCCACTGGAACAGAAACTCGGGAAATGGGAGTCTGAGATCTGTTCTCACACGCCCTCAGGTGACTCTGATGCACGCAGAAGTCTGGGAACCACAGCATAGGGTTGCTGTGAACAGAGCCTGAAGGAGCATGTGTACCAGGCTCAGAACTGCGCCTGGCGCCTGGCCCTTGCCTGTCAGTCCCATCCTCACACAGGACACTTTCTAATAACGCTGAGATGCCCGTGGCTCCAGGTGCCCGCGGATGGAGACGCCTTTCCGGGGGACAAGCCGCTGGCTCCTGTAGGTGTGAGCTGGCTCCCAACAGCACCAGGGGCTTCTCTGTCTTGACCACTTGCTATGTATCGGCATCAGGGGAAGACACGCAGGAACTGACGTCAGTAAGGACAGCCTTTATTAATGCGGATGGTAACACCAGGGAGATGCTCAGGGGCTAGACCGGAACTGTCTCAGGAAGGGGTGGGTAGAAATGCTTTTCTATGCAGAGACTGTGGGAGAGGTGGCTGTGTGAAAAGTAAGGGGGGCGGGGTGGTAACAAAAACTGCAGTGTGGAAGTCTTTTTTCTTTTTTTTTTTTCAATTTATTGATTTGAGAGATACTTTGATTTGTTGTTCCATTTATTCCAGCATTCATTGGTTGACTCTTGTAAATGTGCCCTGACCAGGGACTGAACCCACAACCTTGGTGTATCAGTACAATGCTCTAACCTAATGGTCGGCAAACTGTGGCTCACGAGCCACATGCGGCTCTTTGGCCCCTTGAGAGTGGCTCTTCCACAAAATACCACATGTGGGCGCGCACATACAGTGCAATTGAAACTTCGTGGCCCATGTGCAGAAGTCGGTTTTCGGCCTGGGCAAGTCTATTTTGAAGAAGTGGCGTTAGAAGATGTGGGGGGTGTCGGTCTGTTGGGCAAGGGGAGCCGCGGCGCAGGCGGGCCCCGGGATATGCAGTGCAAGGGAGGCGCCAAATATCAACAGTACGTAAACTATATAGTCAGGTTAATAACAATGTACCTACCTATGTAGTTTAAGTTTTAAAAATTTGGCTCTCAAAAGAAATTTCAATCATTGTACTGTTGATATTTGGCTCTGTTGACTAATGAGTTTGCCGACCACTGCTCTAACCAACTGAGCTACCTAGGGAGGGACTTGGAAGTCTTGAAACTTAAAAAAGAAAGAAAACACCCTGTCAAACTTTCCACTATCAGGTGAGTTGAAGCATGAAATGTTGGCTGTACTCAGGCCCCAGGAGCAAAGAAGTTAGAGTGTAGGAAGATCACATAGAATTTAGTGCCTCGCTGTCCTAGTCAAGCCAAGTGAAAGGTATGTTAAACACAAAGTTTTGATCAACCTTGCCAAGAAATTGATTGTTACCTTTCCTCTGTGCAGTAGGCTCAAAAATGGACCCCAAAGATATTGGTTCTTAATTCTTGGAACCTGTAAATGTTAACTTACATGGCAAAGATTTTGCAAATGTGATCAAATTAAGGATCCTGGCAGGAGAGTTTATCTGGGTGGGCCCTAAGTGCAATCGTAAGTGTTTTTATAAGGAAATGGAGGGAAGTTTGACACGGACAGAAAAGGAGAGGAAACCATGGCAACAGAGGCAGAGATTGGGATGATGTGGCCACACATCACAGAGTGCCTGGAGCCACCAGGAGCATAGGAGAAGAGAACTGGCTCTCCCCTAGAGCCACCAGACCAGGAGTGGGCAAACTTTTTGACTCGAGGGCCACAATGGGTTCTTAAACTGGACCGGAGGGCCGGAACAAAAGCATGGATGGAGTGTTTGTGTGAACTAATATAAATTCAAAGTAAACATCATTACATAAAAGGGTACGGTCTTTTTTTTTTTAGTTTTATTCATTTCAAACAGGCCGGATCCAGCCCGCGGGCCATAGTTTGCCCACGGCTGCGCCAGACAGTGCAACACCTGTTTTTCAGCCCAGGTGATGCTTATTTTGGACTTCCAACCTCCATAGCTGTGAGAGAATAAATTCCTGTCATTTGAAGCCATCGAGTTTATTGGGATTTGTCACAGCGACCATAGGAAACTAATATACCTTATTTCATGAGGTCTTCTTCAGATTGGAGGAAAAGATCCTCTGGCATCCAAAGAAGAGCGTGGATTATAGTTTTAGGAGTGGGGAGAAATCCCTCTAGGTCAGTGCCTTGGTTATCTACTGCACCAAGAGGCTTTGTCATATCCCATCTATATATATAAAAGGCTTCTATATATATAAAAGGCTAAGCGACCGGCCAACTGGCCGGTAGCTATGATGCGCACTGACCACCAGGGGGCAGACGCTCAACGCAGAAGCTGCTGAGCTACAGTGACTGCAGAGTGCCCTCTCACACTCTGGGACCCCTTGGGGGTTGTCAGGCTGCTGGTTTCGGCCCAACCCCCTGCAGGCCAGGCTGAGGGACCCCATTGGTGCATGAATCCGTGCACTGGGCCTCTAGTTTAAATATATTGGTCATGGCTATACTCATTTACTGTAAAAACAAGATTAGTTGAGTTAATATCAGATTTTAAAATGGAAAGGCTAAACTTTAAAAAAGCCATTGGTAAAGTTACATGTATGATATGTCTGAGTAAATGCATGAACTACAAGAGAGGACAAAGAGTTTAATTAATTCTTGTTGAGTGATTTACTTAACGAATTGGCTGACTGTTTAACCCTATAGAAAAAAAGCAAGGTTACAGTAGTTCAGAAAAGTAAGTTATTTTATAAATGACTTCATATGAACATCTAATCATAACAGGCTCTTTTCCATAAAAATATAAATGGTAATAGGTAATAAGCCACTTTACAAGTGGACAGTTTCCTGGATAATATTTTTAATATATCTACTTCAGAGAGGAAGGAAGACGGAGAGATAGAAACATCAATGATGAGAGAGAATCATTAATCGGCTGCCTCCTGCATGCCCCCTACTGGGGAGCAAGCCCACAACCATATGCCCTTGACTGGAAATGAACCTGGGACTCTTCAGTCCACAGGCTGGCGCTCTATCCACTGAGCCAAACCAGCTAGGGCTCTGGATAATGTCTTTTAAGAGTAAGTTTGGCTTAGTGAATTTCAACAAATTGAAAGGGGAGGTTATAATGGGGAAGGTTTTAAGTAGCCTCATGGTCTTGAATACCACCACACTAGATTTGTTCATTCCCCTATGGTTAAAAACTTCCAGAGAAGAAGTAAAGAGTCATATCCTGTTTTCCTAGTGAGTAAAAGTAATCTATTCAGATGCACACAAGAAGATACTTTCACAGACACTGCATTTTAAATGGGAATCGGGAAGTTCTGCCAACTGCATTTTATCAAAGGCAGGGCTCAGGTTTGGTTGCTTGACTAAAACGTGACCATTTTAATAATTAGCACTCATCAAAGTTATGTGGCCATGGGAATAGAAGAAGAAAAGGAACACGATAGTTAGTAACAACCCGTTTCTGTCATGCACTACTTAGCAGATTACGTATAAATCGATGTCATGAGTTGGAGTAGTACCTTCCACTCTCTTGCCTTAATGACTTTCTCCTGTATTTCTCCTGATTTAGGTATTTCTTGGTTTGACTTTAGGTTCTGAGCATATTTGCAATAAAGAGAGTCCATTTTTTGTTTCATTGTGTTTGTATCACCTCCCAAGAAACAAAGGGGATGCCATTCTTTGGAGCGGCACCTGCCACACAGCCTACGGTGAGGCCATTGCCTAAGGTGCAGGCGTTCATGCAGTAGCAGGTTTTTCCACCCTGTGCAATCTTATGGGGCTGTGACCCAAGGGAACTGTAAAGCCCACGTGATAGAATAACTTGGATTTCTTGGATGGACTGAGTAAACAAAAGAACAGTGCTAGGTTCTATATGACTATCGTACTCTGACCTATAAAAGAAAACTCTGTAGAATCCACCTCAAAACAGTCAGAGCCTCCTGAATGGCTACCAATTTCTTTTGCCTCCACTTCCGACCTAGGACAAAGCAGAGAAATCCAAATATTCTCCCCAAACCAATCACAGAAAATGCCCCATGCCTAGTCGTTCCTCCTACATCTTCCCCAAGACACCAGCCTTTAATCAGGGCTTAGGGAAGCTTCCTTGTTTTTTCATTATAAAGCTCCTCCTCACCCCCAACTGTCTTTGAACTGTCTCCCTTGTTTTCATGTGGGTGGTCTTCCACTTGTGTTGACTCCCTTGATTAATTTTTTAAAAAAGAAAAAAAAAAAAACTCCAGCCATATGCAAAACATTGTGCTTTGTAACCACTTCAGAACTTTCATTCCTAGTGGTGTTTGAGAGGAAAGAGATTCTAATTCAAAGGACATAAGTGAAATTTTTAATAAATTGGTTTTCAAAGTATTTATTTGTGCTTCTGCAGGCTCTCAATTGAATTTTAACTAAGAATTTACAAGTTGGCATGCACTATGACTCCAGATAATAATAAAGATATGCCTAGAAAAGAGTTTAGGGAGGGGACGAGGGAGGTTTATTCTAAAATATATTTTCTACAATGAATATGTTTCTTAAATAATTTTAAAAAGAAACTTTTGAAAACATTTCTGAATTAATATCTTTAAATATATACGTGAAAGTACATTTCTTAAAGCCAAGAGAAGCACTTTGGATGCTAAGGAAGACAATGATCCATCCATAATTCCAAGAGCAGGAAAGTAAAAGCAGTCTCCGCCCTTCTCCACTGCTGTTCTCCTGATTAAGCCAAATTCTTTTGCTAATAACTCCTTCCCGTGGGTTTTCAGAAAGGCTTGAGAGGGAGGAAGGATCCCTGCCTGGGGAAGACAAGAAAGGAGAAGAACAAAATGCCAGCCTTCCCTGGAGACGCTCCCAGTCTGTCCCCTTTCCTCCGAAGATCTGGGCCTGACCATCGTGTCTGCGTTTTGCGCATGGTCATTCCGCTCGATTCCTCCCGAACCCAGCTGCGCCCAACAGTGAGCACATCTGTCTCGGGCTCTTCCTCCCAGCAGCCCGCCCCGCGGTTTGCTGCGGGACAAGCAGGAACCGCTAGACCAGATGTTACTGTCTCCGCGCCCCGAGATTTTAACCAGGACTAGGACCCGAGCGCACTCGGGGTACCCTGACATCCACTGGGGCTCGCTGTACGCTCTCCCTGAACCACCCGCCAAGCGCATGAATTCCGGGTAGTTGGTTGGTCCGGGTCCTACGAAGGTGGGGGACCCTCCTCAGAGTTGTCCTTGGGCCCCCGCTCGCCTCCCCCGGGTCCAGGGAGGTAGGTCCGACCGAAGCCAAAGGAGTTGAGACCGCGCCGTGTCACGCGCCGGGGGTTTCAACCCCAGGGGCCCCGCCCCCAGCCGGCTCAGCCAATCGCGGCGCGGACAGGCGTTGGGGGCGGGGCTGCCGGGCCGAAAGCCCGGGGCCTTAAAAGGCTGAGTCAGGGGCGATTGGGCCAGAACCACGGGTCTGTCGACCTTCGAGGAGTTTATTGCGCCCGTGGAGTGCGGCCTCCCAGCTGTGGCCGCCGCAGGTCAGTCCGTGGCCGCGGCGCGTCGCGGGCAGGGGGTCGGGGAGGGGCCCATCCAGGGACTCGGACGGGAGGATGGGAGCCCGAGCGCCGGCCGGCCCGCGCCGGGGAGGCTGCGGCGCCGCACGAGCCCCGCTGCTCACCTGCGGCCTCGAGGCCGGCACGGCAGACGGAGGGCTCGGGGAGCCCGGGGCGGCGCGGAGACCGCCGGGCGCTGGGCCTGTGCAGGAGCCGCCAGCCTCGGGGCGGTGGCGGCCACAGGTCCGGCGGGGCCCGGCGCCCAGCGCTGCGTCAACAACCTCCGGACGCGGGCGTCTGCGCGGGGCGGGGCGGCATTCCCGCGGCGCGGCCCCGCCGGCTGCGTTGGCGTCACGGGGCCCGGCCAGTGTCCGAGCACCTGGAGGGAGAGCTGGGCCGGTGCAGACAGTGCCATCGGGGCTCTGTGCTCGGCGCTCCTCCGAGCCACGTGATCGTGTAGCGGGTTTGCGGGAGGGACTGAGGGTGTGGGCTGGGTGCCCCGCGGCCCATGTGTTCCCGGGGAGGCCGGTCAGAAAGGTTTCAAATTCCAGAAGCAGAGGCTCGAAGGCATATCGCACCCCTGCGGTGCCGTAGTCAAGCAGATAGGTGTAAGGTGGAAACCTAACTCCTGGGGATCCCTGCGCTTACTTGGGGGCAGAGTCCTGATAAATAATGTCCGGGGTCACGCTGGTACCTGGAGTAAATAACCTGGGCCGACAGTTTCTTTCTCGTGCTTTAAGATTCAGACCCATAAGGTGCCCTGAGGCCCTTAATCAAAACCTAAATGATCATTGCGCTATTACAACGAAGTCTGTTTCAATTCCTGCAGCACTGGTCAGCCTGTTTTTCATTTTGATGGCTGAATCATATACCGCCCCTATTTGGTAAGCCCTTGGCCTGTTTTTCTCCACCCACATCCGTAGCCTTCAGCAGACCTTCCATAAATATCAGGGAAGGTAATTTAAATGTTTTTATCCCACAGTAAGATGGCTTTGCAGAAGGATTGGTCTAATCAGATCACTCATTTTTCCCCCCCTCTTCCTAGGATTTTGAAACATGAATCCTTCACTCCTCCTGACCGCCCTTTGCTTGGGAATAGCCTCAGCTACTCCAAAACTTGATCCCAGATTGGACGCACAGTGGTACGAGTGGAAGGCAACACACAGGAGACTATATGGCGTGGTGGGTAACATCGGAAACTGCCCAGAGGGACCCACAGAGAAGGGCCCTTGAGGTCAGGCGTTTACAGCCAGAGAGTGGCTTCCTGAGGTCAGCCACCCCAGGGCAGTAATTTAATGGCAGCCATTAATGAGCACCCTATGGGTGTACATCCCTGTGATGGCCCTTGGAGAACAGCACCCAGTAGTATAAAGCCTTCCCTGGCTGTGGTTTCTCTTCCTCTCTGCAAATCCCCGTGGTGAGGGTAGGTTGGGTTTTTTCAGTAGAAACGACAGCGTGGTGCATGCTTGCCTCTAGAATGAAGAAGGATGGAGGAGAGCGGTGTGGGAGAAGAATATGAAAATGATCGAACTGCACAATCGGGAATACAGCCTAACGAAGCAGGGCTTCACCATGGCGATGAATGCCTTTGGCGACATGGTGAGTGTGGCCTGGGAGGCTGCGCTTTTTGTACTTCCTCTCCTCAGTGCTTTTTAGCAAAACAAGCTCTTGCTTTTTCAACAGTTTACTTACTTTTCCTTGTAGACCAATGAAGAATTCAGGCAGGTGATGAATGGCTTTCAGAACCAGAAGCAACGGAATGGGAAGGCATTCCGAGAGCCTCTCTTTGCTCAGATCCCCTCATCTGTGGATTGGAGAGACAAAGGCTATGTAACTCCTGTGAAGAACCAGGTATGACCGGGTTCCGATCTTTTAACTCAGGAAAGCCAAAAAGGAACGGCATCCCTGCTCGGGTCCACTGGAATGACATGCTTTTTTGCTGGGGTGTTTTTACAGAGCATTCAAGTATATGGGCTGTTGTCAATCTTTGTATTTGTCTTATAAACTGATGGTTGTTTTTTTTATTTTCAGGGTCAGTGTGGTTCTTGTTGGGCTTTTAGTGCAACTGGTTCCCTTGAAGGACAGATGTTCCGGAAAACTGGCAAACTCGTCTCGCTGAGTGAGCAGAACCTGGTGGACTGCTCTCGCGCTCAGGGCAATGAGGGCTGCAATGGTGGCCTAATGGATAATGCCTTCCAGTACATCAAGGACAACAAAGGCCTGGACACAGAGGAATCCTATCCATATCTCGCAAGGGTAAATGGAGCTCCTTATCTTGTTATTCCAGCTCTGCTATTGAAAGTTGAGCATTTTCAGAGATAACAGACACCTTAGTCAGCATTCACATTTTAGATGCAAACTGTCAGAACTGTCACTATAAATTATCAAATTTTGCACAGATCTCTAATGAGGTGGCTAACTGTAGCCGTTCTTGCTTCTATGTAACATGGAGAATATATGCACTATTCTGCATATAATGCAGATTTCTCCACAGTGAAAATTTTTTTTAAGGCAACCAATAGCATTTTGCTTCCTGGGTTGCTGTAAAACAAAGTTGACTTAGAAATAATTAAGGTGCAAACTGCTGAGTCTGGGGTCTTAGAACTGATGCTCCCCAGGAGGTGGGTGGTACTCATAAGGTTCCTTCCCATTTACCTTTAAAAGGAATCAAACACCTGCAACTATAGACCTGAGTATTCTGCTGCCAACGACACTGGCTTTGTGGATATCCCTCAGCGTGAGAAGGCCCTTCTGAAGGCAGTGGCGACTGTGGGGCCCATCTCTGTTGCTATAGATGCAGGCCATTCATCATTCCAGTTCTATAATGCAGGTAGGTGTTTGTATTACAGAAATTCGGGTAGGCAAAATTGGAAAACACCATCATGACTTTTTGGTATGGAGTTCTGCTTTCCAGGACTGTAGAATTTTGAGTATGTACATTTAACATAATGATGTTTCCACTTTAAATATTTTCCCATGATGACAAACTGTTCATAAATATCTTTAAGTGGCTATGTAATTAGTTCTATAGATGTAACCTAAACTTGCATGACTATCCTCCAATTAATTGTTGGACCTTTATTCCAAAAATTTCTTATTATTGTAATTAGAACTATAAAGAGCCCTTTGGCTCAAGGGTTCTTTATAGAACCTTTAGATGGCTTTCTAGGAGTAGGAAGGATTATGCTAATTAATATTAGTTAAATGAGTGCCTAAATCATATTAGTCTTGATAACTAGATCATATTGGAATTTTTTTTGTTGTTAGAAAATATATTGGATTTAGTTAAATTTTGTTGATTTCTAGTGAGTTGAGTTTGACTTTTTATCAGCCATTACTATTTTTTGGCAAATGAATGTAAGCCTCATTTGGAATTTATGACATAATACTGAATTTTGAGAGGGTGGATTCCTGCCACCTGTCACTTGGAGCTTCACATCCCCACATTGAATTTTACTCTCGTAGGCATCTATTATGAACCAAACTGCAGCAGCAAAGACCTGGATCACGGTGTTCTGGTGGTTGGCTATGGCTCTGAAGGAGGAGAATCAAAGAACAATAAATTTTGGATTGTCAAGAACAGGTATAAAACCCCAAATGTTATATTTGAAATTGAAAAGGGAATGCTTGTTTGGAACCAGTATTTGGTTTCAGGTCCAAAAATGCTCAGTTTTGGAATTCCAGAAGTCTTTCTTATACTTAACAGTCACAGAATTTCTGGTGTTTGATTTTAAGATTCTGTAGAACCTTGTTAGTGTCATTATTATGTATTTGTAGCATTGCATTTGTAATTCTGAAAATTTTCTTAAGAACACATCTGGCCCCAAGGGTTTCCGGTAAAGGACTTCTTAGTTGCAGGGGTGAGAGCTGATTTCCTTTTTCTGTCTCCGATTTGTCAGCAAGGTTTAGTGAGCAGAAACATCGGCCTCTGCTGATTCTTTAGGTCTAAAAATTGTCCCAGAGTCCAGTGGCCTGCTGGCATCCTTCCTGTTGTCATTCATTTGATGTCCTGCCATTGTATCCTGCTTCCCATCTCAGGCAGAGGAGGTTATCAGGAGCAATTTTCACAGCCCAAGTTCTTTAACTGAGATGATGTGTAAGACAGCTGTGGAAATAGACTGTTACATTGGACTCCCAGTTCCGCCTCAATGTCATAGCTTAGTAAGTTAAAATAAGGACCCTGGGGGAATTAATAGGCTTATTATAAGTATATGTAATAGCCCTCAGAAGAGTGTCTGATACATGGTAAGCAGTATTTTAAGTATTAGCTAGCATTATTAATGAAGCTAATATGTACTTGATTCTTTGAATAAAATGCAAAACATGCTCTTCTTTCAGCTGGGGTTCAGGATGGGGCATGAATGGCTACGTAAAAATGGCCAGAGACCAGAGCAACCACTGTGGGATCGCCACGGCAGCCAGCTACCCTACTGTGTGAGCTGATGGAGTGGTAATGGAAGCCTTGAGGACGGCACATCCAGAGGGATTTTATCTTTAAACTGATCAGACCTTTATTGTGTAAGATGAGAAACTTGAATCATTAAGGATCCAAGTTGTGATGTGAATTCTGTGACATTTTTATAAGGGTAAAATGTTACCAGTACTTTAATTACTGTTATAAATAGCTTTATAATATTGAAGATTCATTGCTGAATTCTAAGACATTTGAATTTTCATTTTTTAAAAGGATATATAAAACTTCACCTTTTAAAATAAATTTTAATTCAATATGTAGAAGTGGAACTTCTTTCTGTTTTTTAACGCGTGAACTTTTTGCATAGTCGGGGAATATAATTGGGCTCTAAAGACATAGTAAATGTGCCAGTGTACAGGAGAAAGATACTGGGTAGCCCTCTGGGTCTTCTGGTTATAAACATGTAGATTTCATGTCAGCTGTCCTTTGGCTGTGTTGACCTAACTCTTGAATCTAGCAAAATGTGATAAACAATCTGGAAGGACAAAGGTAAACTTGTTTTAATAAAGAAAAACAGTTTACTTTTTAGAAAAATGAATGGACACAGAGTCGTAGGTTTTAGATACTAGGAGAGGGCCTCCGCTTCTTGCACTCCACATAGTGGTAACTAGGAGGATAGGTGATGAGAGTCTCGGAGCCAGTTACTGAAGCATCCCCCTGAATCACGGGAAGACCATGGGACTACTTGGCAGTTGAGTGAGGACCAGACGCCAGGATTGCCAGGTCTCTGGTGGCATTCCACATAACTCTGCTAGGAAAAGCCTCATATGTTACCAGTGTTAGCAAAAGTAAGTTTAGTGGTTGTGATGAACAGATCTTCAAGTTCTCAGGAAATGAGGCTGGGCTGCAAAATAGTCCTGACTTTGGAAGATGGGTGAGAGATCACTAGGTGAAATGTGGGTTTAGCTACCTCATTTTTGAATTAAAAATAAACTCATGCCCTGGCTGGTTTGGCTCAGTGGATAGAGCGTCAGCCTAGGGACTGAAGGGTCCCAGGTTCAATTCTGGTCAAGGGCACATGACTGGGTTGTGGGCTCGATCCCCAGTACGGGTGTGTAGGAGGCAGTCGATCAATGATTCTCTCTCCCTCTCCCTTCCTCTCTGAAATCAATACAATATACTTAAAAAAACAAAAAAACTCAAAGGGAACAAAACTGCCTAAGCACATGGTTGCACAGGAAACCCCTCGTTAAAATATTGAATCTTGAATCTCTGCTTAATGGGGCCATATTACTAAATTCAGTCTAATCTGTGTTCTTTCCACTATTACCCCCGTGCCCTTAATGTTCATTCCTTCCCGTATTCCCCAGATATGTCAGTATAAATTGGGAAAAATCGGGCAGTTCTTTTGGAATGTAGTGCACCTCCTGGGTCATACTCTGTACCTCACTTTTCAGGGCCTGCTGGGACTTGAGTCTGGTTACAGGAATAAAGAGGGAGGGTGGGAGCACTTCCTAAGATCCACAGTGTCTTGCAAGGAAACTACATCAGGGAAGGCCATTGCCTCCATTGCTCAGGCAAAACAGGGTCAACCTCAGGGAGAAGGCTTGCTTCTGGCAAAGAGGCTCGGCAGGATTTGGGGGTCCAACATCCCCAGCTTCACCAGAATTGCCCAAATACGCTTAATCCAGATTTCAGGACATTCCTTCCCAATCAGTGCCCTCACTTGAGCAGCTCCTACCCTGTGAGTGGAGAATTTGATTGTCGTAATTCAGCCCACTTGGAGGATGCAGCTTTGTCTTTAGTTTGCAAAAATCTTAGCTCTGTGGCTATAAGTGATAGGAATTTCTTCAGGGAAGATGGAGAACTCTGGTCATTTAGGTTACACTTGAGCCAGAAATGTGAAGCCCTGAGCTCATCCTTTTTCTTCCCTCACTCTGTCCAGTGTGGTTATAAGCAAACAGCCAATCTCATATTCATTAGTTTGACCAAAATGTTTTGTATTAAATACATGTGACCCAGAACCTCGCCTCTTATCCGTTGGTGGGGTTTTGCCTATCTGTTGCCACATCGTGTCATAGACTATCAGGGCTCTTTTTGCAACTGGAAATGGTGCCTTTAAATCTAATCAGATTAGAGAATCTGTTCTAGAAACCAATTCAGGAAACTCTTTCTTAAGATTCTCTTCCTCTAGAACCCATGTCAGTAACAAAATCTGCGTTGAAAGGAATTAGCTTATGCCACGTGGGGGGTGGCAAGTCCAACATTTCTAGGGCAGGCTGGCTGGCTAGAAACTTGGGCAATATTTCTGTGTTATAGTCTAAGGCAGAAATCCTTCTCCAGGAAACATCAGTGTTTGCTCTTAAGAACTTCAACTGATTGGATGCGTCCGATGCAAATTATGGAAGATAGTCTACTCAAAGTCAACTGATTATGGATGCTAATTACATCTACAAAATACCTTCACAGCAATAACTAGACCAGTTTTCAACCAGTGTGCTCCAAGAATTTTTAAAACATGTTAGTACTTGACTATTTAGTCATAGGCACTTTTCCCTTAGATTGTCAAAAAAAAATGACAACAGTCCTGGCTGGCTTGCTCAATGGTTAACGCATTGGCCTGTGGACCGAAGAAGCACCATCCCTGGTCAAGGACACCTGCCTCAGGTGCAGATTCAATCCCTGGTCCTGACAGGAGGCAACCAGTTGATGTGTCTTTCACATTGACTCACCTCTATCTCTCTCCCCTTCCTCCCACCCACTCACTCTCTAAAGATCAGTGGAAAAAATATCCTCAGGAGAGGATTAAAAAAATATAAATGACAACAGCCAACACAGCAATAGCCATATGGTTTGAATGAATCAAAATTATACCTATTTGTTGTCAGATAGGCAAAAAGTGTATTTTTTGGTGTGGTGCAGAATTTTAGTAATTAGTTTATGTGTGCCATGAGATGGAAAAGGTTGAAAATCGCTGTCCTATTATATTAAATCTGGACCTGTCTCAACCAGGTTTCTCTCTCTCTTTCTCTGTGTCTCTCTCTCTCTCTCTCTCTCTTTAAAATCTTTATTGATTTCAGAGAGGAGGGGCAAGGGAAAGAGAGGTAGAAACATCAATGATGAGAGAGAATCATTGATCGACTATCTCCTGCATGTCCCCTACTGGGGATCAATCCCGCAACCCAGGCATGTGCCCTTGACTGGAATCAAACCTAGGACCCTTCAGTCCACAGGCTGAAGCTCTAGCCACTGAGCCAAACCAGCTAGGGCTCAACCAGCTTTCTAAGTGCTATTCCAGGTTGCAAAATTCTCATTTTTTTCAATCATGAAATGTTCACAAGAGGCTCACTATAAATTTTATGGTTTTTAAAGCATAAATATCATACAGTATCTCTCTTCATATGATAGTCATTCAATAGTCAAATGTCATTTCAGATGATAATTTGCTGGATCATTTGGATTCTAAACCTTAGTTTTTTATGTATCGGTTGTTTTTTAATATATTTTGGATATTAACCCCTTTCCTATTGATGTTTTTGTAAATTTGTTTTTTGTTTTGTTTTTGTTTTTTAAATATATTTTATTACAGAGAGGAAGGGAGAGGGATAGAGAGTTAGAAACATTGATGAGAGAGAAGCATCGATCAGCTGCCTCCTGCACACTCCCCACTGGGGATGTGCCTGCAACCAAGGTACATGCCCTTGACCAGAATCGAACCTGGGACCCTTGAGTCCGCAGGCTGATGCTCTATCCACTGAGCCAAACCGGTTAGGGCATGTAATTTGTTTTTAATGAAAGACTTGGTTGTTCCATAGTTTATAATGAATAGTAATGAAAATCAACTTTTAAAATGAAATAGGGCCCTGGTTGGGTGGCTCTGTTGGTTGGAGCCTCGTCTCATACACCAAAAGGCCACAGGTTTGATTCCCAGTCAGGGCACATGCCTGGGTTGTGGGTTCCATCCCTGGTCAGGGTACATACAGGAGGCAACCCATCCGTGTTTTCTCTGACTTCAGTGTTCCTCTCTGTCTCCCTCTCCCTTCCTCTTGCTCTAAAATCAATAAAGGCATATCCTCAGGTGAGGATTTAAAAAGTAAAAATGAAATAGGAATGTGTTTATCAAGAAATTAATATAATCTCTGTGATTGGGAATCAAGGATAATTCAAAATTCTGGATTAAAGGAAACCCATTGTTTGTTAGAAATACTCAATTTTCTATTTGTGCTCAAGCCTAAATAATGAAAAACTTACTGGGCAAAGGCTACTAATATGGCTTTATTATGAATAACTAGAGGCCCGATGCACGAAATTCGTGCAAGGGGCTCAACCCTCGCAGTCCTGGCTGCCTAGTGGCCCCATGGCCCCTCCCACTGATTGTTCCGGAAGGTTGTTCTGGAAGGTCATTCCAGAAGGTCATTCTGCCATTCGGTCTAATTAGCATATTAGCTCTTTCTTATAGAGAATAATAGACCATATGCCCAAATTCCAAATAACTAAGGCTAATTCCCTCCAATATCTCAGCAAATGGTTTTTATTTTTCAAAACTCAGATCTAGTCATCATTCTCAACCTTTGAAATCCCTTTCTTCACAGAAACTTGTAGAACCTTAAAACACAAACTGACTTATCTTCATGAATTTAGGACCTTTCTGTGAACCTATTTTTCAGTCACCTCAAATTACGTAAATGTCAAATAGTTGACTAATAAAATTCTGAACACTTTTAACGTTTTTCATATTATTTATTAGATCTCTGATAATATGTTGTCAAAATAAGTAACAAGTAAACCCACACACATTTCCAAAATATTTCATTTTTATACTTAACAAAAAAGATTTAAAATCTAAGGTTTAATAACCAAAACAATTTTGCAAAGCAAAAGCAAAGTTGGAGTGCCCTAACTGGTTTGGCTCAGTGGATATAGCGTCAGCCTGCAGACTCAAGGGTCCCAGGTTCGATTCCGGTCAAAGGCATGTACCTTGGTTGCAGGCACATCCCCAGTAGGGAGTGTGCAGGAGGCAGCTGATCAGTGTTTCCTAACTCTCTATTCCTCTCCCTTCCTCTCTGTAAAAAATCAATAAAATATATTTTAAAAAATAATTTAAAAAATTAAAAAGAGCATATCAAAGACAGGGAGAAAATATTTACAAGATACATATCTGACAAAAAACTAGTATACAAAATATATTTTTAAAATTTAAAGCTAAGAAAAGAACAAAAATTCAGTAAAAGAAGGGACAAAAATAT